GAGCGACCATCACCAACGGTCAAATGTATACACCACGTGAGCTGAGAGTTTTCAAGAAAAGACTCGACAGGCCGATAGTCAACCCATGATGAATAATAATGATCTAATTTAGTTTTTGTAGTACATATATTTAATTGTACAAGTTTAATCTTTGAATTATGAACGTAGGAAATATCGTCATTGGACGATGAAAGTCTCCCGGGGGAGTGCTGCTGGTGCCACGACGATCGAGGTTTGTGCGACAGGCCTCACCTGGATGATGATCGACGCTTCAGCATTAAGCTCGAGGAGACCTTCGATGTTGAAATGGTACGCAACAGCGACAAGTGTTTTTCGTAATTAAGCATGACTTCAACTATTTCAACGTGTAATTTTCATCTTTTACAATTCGAGTATAGCTTATCCCATGCCATGCAAGACGCTATGTCTTGGAGAGGATGGATTTTGAAGACCATGGAAATTTTGAAACGAAGAAAATCCACCTAAGGACCCATCATGATGTGGATTTTCAAGTAAATCTGTATAATGCTGAGAGCGTAACCCATTTTGGTTGCAAAAATTGAGAAGCATTTTGCAAGACGTATGGTTTTGATGAGGGTATGCTTGTCACCATGGATCTTGGTGATCCTGACATCGACCAAGACAATATGGACATTTGGATCCTTGTTGATACGCCTTCAGTTCTACCGCTATGTGAGTTTCTCAAACATAGTTAATTATTATCTAATTTATATTGTTTATTTCAAAATAGTTGACAACTTATTTCCATTGACAGCTTATTTTCATTGTTCAAACAATATGCGGAACATGATAGATAAAACCCACTACACCGATGGCTCCACGTTAACTTATCAGGAGAAAAATCATCTGGTCGGATTTTGTACTGATCTTGAGAATTACAATATCTACAATCAAACTCCTCAACACTATGGTCAATACGTGCCACTAGTGCACGTGTTGAACTACGGTAACTACCATGGAGATACCCTGGTAAGATTTTTTACTATTACGACATCCGTGCATCTTTTGCATACTTCTAAAACTAGTACATCATTGCTAACTATGAAGTTATTACTATGTTTTTCAACAGAGAATCCCAGAGGATTGTGTGCCTCATTTGATGTATCAGAATGGCAGCCTTCGTGTTTTGAACATATATTCAGGTCATCCTACGAATCTCAACTGTCCATACCTAATTTCTAAAAGAAGTGGAGACATGCTAATTAGAGAATGGAAAAAAATGTATGGACAGTCATAAGGAGGTTCTTGGAAGCAAAAGGAAGCGCCGCGCAAGAATTGGAGATAGGATGATCTCCATTCTCCATAATGGAGAGTCATGGTCTATATTGTTTTATGCTATTTTACCTTAAATAGGGTATTTAGGTCCTGCCTAATACTGATGATCATGTGCTAAGAACAATTAAGTACGGTTGGTTCCATGACTATCAGGATGATGATCATATGACTTGTTATTAATAACGAGTAGAAGTTGTATGATAATGATTAGTAGGACTTGTTATTATGATGATGCATGATGCGAGCATGAAGAGTTATTATATATATGTGGGTGAAATGAACATGGATTGGATTGAAGTGAAGGCAACATGCATGTGGTGCATGTCGAAAGTAGTACAATCCAAACTTGATCAAGTTAGGATTAGTATTACTTTCGACATGCACCACATGTTGCCTCACTTCAATCTAAGTCATGTTTAGGCATAGCAGTAGTAGTAGCACGGAGATAAGAGAGGACACATCTCTCTATTAGCTACCTATAACAACCTAAATTAACCCCCAAAACCCCTAAACCACCTCCATTAAAAAAACAGCCCCTGAAATGCTGACGCGTGGAAGCTTATTGGTCCCGGTTGGTGCTACCAACCGGGACCAAAGGACCTCCTGCCTGGGCTCGCCGGAGCGGCCACGTGGAGGCCCATCTGTCCCGGTTAGTATAAGAACCGGGACTAAAGGCCTAGGGCATTAGTAACGACCCTTTAGTCTCGGTTCCCCAACCGGGACAGATGGGCCTTATGAACCGGAACAAATGGCCCTTTTTCTACTAGTGAGCCAGACCCGTCCGGGAAGAAAACGGGTTGTTTGGTTGCCTGGCCCGCACGAAACTTAAAGCAGCCCTCAACTAAGCCCGCTAGGAATGCCTGAATCGGCAATTTTCAGTGAGCCAGGCTCGAGCGATGCAGGGGAGGGGAACACGACATTGACAACCTGCGAGCAGGGAGGTAGTGGGAGCTCGCGAGTGTCTCCGTAAAAGCGGGGGGACGATCTCGCGTCATTGCCCGCCGATTCGGTTGCCCTATATAGCCAGGGTGACCATTGCGGCAAAACTCCCGCCATCATTTCCCTTTTCTTGAGCTTTCCCTCAAGCACGGATCAACATCGACGATGATGTAAGCGGCGCAACTTCTCCAGTGACCGGTTGACAGCAACGGCGAATGGACTGCTCCTCTTCTCCGGCATGTTCAGTGCCTCCTCCATGGCTCCTCCGATGGCGTCTATGAGTTCAATCACCTCCTCCTCTCTACTAGTTCTAGCTAGATCTATGAGCATGTGGTACGATTAGATTATCCGATATGTGTGACTTGATGTTCTAGTAGCTAGTTGTGATGTATGAAGCATGCTAGAAGTTGTTTCAATGTCGGCAAGGATTGATAGCTAGTGGTCATGAATGGATTGGTAGTATGCCTTGATGTGTGGTATGCTAGTGTGCAAGTATTTGGTAGTGCTGTCTTGAACTAGATCATCCATGTGTGCATGTGGTAGTGCTAGTTCGATCTATCCGTATTTACTGGTAGTTCCTACTGTCGATCTATAATGTGTTGTGGTCTTGATAATGCTTACATTTGTAGGAGATGAGCACGCAAGAGTTTAGTCAGGCAATCTTCCTATCCGAGAGCCAGTTTCCGGTGTCCTACGTCGAGGACTCCTAGCCTCCCATCGACTAGATGCCTCCTGATTCAGACATTTTCAAGGTGCCCGCTACGGTTCCCCCATTTGTGTTCGCTCAGCCAAATGTTGCAGCTTATGCTGCTGCGCAAACGATAGCCTCAAATGTGAAGAAGGATGATAGGGGGAACAACATGAAGTGGCAACCGTTCCTGTCGACAATTCGTGCTTAGCAAGATGTGTGAGATCATAGCGAGTGGGGTGAGGACTGACAACGGTGTCTGGTTGCTCAGGGTGTCTTCAAGAGGAGTACCTAGTGTGGGTTGCCTCGTTTGCCTTGGTAGCGAGGCTTGGGGCGCTATGTTGTCCTGTCTTGGCTGTCGTTGTGGGCATGAGCATCCGGGGCACAATGTACTCCTCCTTCGATGCCTCATTTGCGACGTCTTCCTCGAATTAGGCTAGCTCCTGATATCCACTTGCCGATCTTCTAGGTACTAAGGGCCTGTTCGGCAGCTCCCCAACTCCCAGCTTCCCTGAATCCAGGAGCGGAGCTGGCCCGAACACCCTGGCTCCACGAAGCTAGCTTCTGGGATGTGTGGCCTGGCTACGTGCAAAAACCGGGAGCTGCTCGTTTGGAGATCCCAGAAAACGCAAAAGCTGGAGTTCACTTTTATTACGAGGATGTGCCACCGCCAAGTGACATACCTGTTCGATAGATAGGCTGGAGAAGTCTCGATACATCTCGATCCCCATTCTCCTCCTGCCGTATCCCCACCGGCTAGTCCAACCCTAGCCGCCAGACATCCCGCCACCGCATCCTCACCGGTCAACTTCGTCCGGCAACCTCGACCCCACCCCAAAGAAGGTCTCGTCCTCGAGCAGCCCTTCTTCGTGACGCTCGCGACTCCTTCAAGCTCGCCCCATTCCGCCCCCACCTGACAGCAGCCGGCACCCCCGTCGTCGGCGACGCTGCTCCTCTGCCCCGCCGTCGCCGCTCGAGAAGCTCAAGGTGAGCTCGTGCAGATGTGCAACCTCACCACTCTCCATTCAGTTTATTTTACATTGAGTTACAGGCCATTTGGTCCAGATTTTTGGATGTCCAGATGCACAATCTTTTGTAAATAAGATGAACTTTTCTGAATGTGAGCATATATATTTGTAGACGAAAGCTATCATTTGGTTCAGATTTATAGATGGGAGCTATGATTTTTAGATTTATAAGTGAAATAGTCCCTGTACAGAATTATAGATGTAATAGACTCTGTATATGTTTATAAATGAGATATTCCATATACATACGTACAGATTTATAGATGAAATAGTCTCTGAATATGTTTATAAATGAGAGCATACAGTTGTTTTTATGACATGAATCTTTATATATATGAGAGCATACAATTTTATTAGCACACACAAAGTGACATGGACTTTTATATAGAGTTGTTGAAAATGGTTGCCGAATGGACTATTGAGAACACTCGGATTATCACCGAGTTGTTTGTCCAGCAAGTGAGAGCTGGAAATAGGCCAAATACTCACTTGACCTCCAATGCATATGATGAGGTGGTGAGGCAATTCAAAATAAGAACAGGGTTGGAGTACACAAATGATCAATTGAAGAACAAATGGGACAAACTAAGAGGTGAATATGGTGTATTCAAGAAACTTAAGTTGAAGGAGACAGGAGCGGGATGGGACACAGAGCGCAACACTGTGAAACAAGATGCTGAGTGGTGGAAGAAGGCAAAGATAGTGAGTTTTCATCCTCATGTTGTGCATATCATATCTTTCTTCATATTACTTGTTGTTGACAAATGTTGTCTTGTTTGTATATTTACAGGACATTCCAGGTTGTTACAAGTTCAGGAAGCATGGACTTCGCAATGAAGAGAACTTGCGCATCATGTTTGAATCCGACTTCTGGCATCCCCCCTACTTCTACTGCACTAATATCAAGTGCCATAAATCTTGAGCAAATAGAAGATGTTGATCTGTTGGAGGATCCCGAAGAGGCACCATCTCCTATTACACCAAAGGTTAATAAGAGGCTTGGCAAGATCATTTGTGACACAAACAAGAAACCCAAGACCGCACAAGTGATGCAGGAGCAGATTACAATGATCGGGGACATTTGTAAGGAATCACATTCGTCGTTTCAGTCGTTCTTTAAGCACGATGACACCACCTATGTTGCATCTGTTATGAAGGAAGCAATTGCTTGTGGTGCAATAGAAGGCAGCGATGAGCACTTCATTGCCTCTGAGCTTTTCATCAAGAGAGAGCAAAGGGAGATGTTTTTGAGCATGAGTGTTCACACTCGTTTGGGTTGGCTAAAGAGGAAGTTCAATGTCAAGTACGGGAACTAGTAGTTCCCAGTTTATGCCATATATGTGATGGTTGCTTATGTCCTATGCTACCGAACCATTTTATTTACTATGTCAGTGGTTGAACAATATTTTAAGTACTCACTCTTGAACAATTGTTTCCTATATGGCTTGTAATAACTGGATCGATAATATTTATGTATGGAGTGGAGTTTCGTCTTCAGATTTCTTGTTCTCCATGCTAACCATTGTTTGTTAACTCATTGGCTTTGTATGTGCAGATGTCATCTGACAGTGAAAGTGACAATGAAAACTATTATGAAATGAAGAAAAGAATGATTCGTGCCCATGCACAAGAAATGAACATTATGTATCTGAGTGCATCAACCATATTTGGGAAGTATTGTGACAATTGGGTGATGAAGGCCAATCCTAGGACATCTATCTTGAGTGGATTTGGATGGTTGCAGGAGACTATCGGTACACCCGGAGAGACATTCACCATGCTGAGAATGAAGGCGACGATATTCTTTGAACTTCATGACTTGTTGAAGGATAAGTATGGGCTCGGCCATTCCCCATTCGTTAGTAGTTATGAGTCTCTTGCTATGTTCCTGTGGACCTTGGGTGGGTGTGAATCAAATAGAAGAACCCAAAACCGTTTCAAGCATTCCGCAGATACAATCCACCGCAAATTCCATGAGGTACTACTTTGTGCCGTGAAGATGTCTGCTGACTACATCAAGCCTAAGGACCCAAATTTTAGGACCATACATCCAAGGATTCTGAATGACAGGAGGGCTTATCCACACTTGAAAGACTGCATTGGTGCAATAGATGGGACTCACATTAGGGCTTCTATTCCTGAGGCCGGACAAGTGAGGTACATCGGAAGAACCGGAGCAATAACTCAGAATGTGATGGCAATATGTGACTTTGATATGCATTTCACTTATGCTTCTATTGGTCAACCTGGTTCTATGCATGACACAACTGTGCTATATACCGCAATGCATATGGACAAGGATACCTTTCCCCATCCTCCAAAAGGTGAGCTTTTTTACTTGTTGCAAGTTATGTCATATATCCAACAACTTACATTCATTACTCTGTATGTTATTTAGGCAAGTACTACCTTGTAGACGCTGGCTATCCTAATAGAATTGGATATCTTGCACCCTACAAAGGAGAAAGGTATCATGTCCCTGACTTTCAAAGAGGCGCACCACCGAATACTCCTAAGGAGAAGTTCAATAGGATCCATTCATCCAAACGCAATTGCATAGAGAGAACCTTTGGAGTTTGGAAGATGAAATGGCAAATACTTTTGAAGATGCCAAGCTACTCAACTGAAACCCAAAAGATGATAGTTGCTGCTACTATGGCATTGCACAACTATGTTCGCTTCCATGACAAATCAGATCTCCACTTTGTTCGATGTGATAGGGATCCGGATTATGTGCCAACAATTCCTGAACGGTATAGGAAATTTGCTGTTCCGACAAATGCTTCAGATACATCTACTTCGGAGGAAAATGGTGTTGACATGGATCTGTTTAGGAACCAACTTGCTACTGACATTGCTCTAGGTTGGTGAAGTACATGTTAGGAACATGTACCACTTTTGATTTGCAAACTTATGCAAATATTGTGCCCTTTGTTATATGAAATACGTGCAGACTGTCTTGGTCCTTAAGATATGTGTTGCCATATATGTATTTTCATTCAAAATACATTTCTGTTTAATAATTTATAATTTATATGCAGAAAGTATTGCAAACTACCCTTTATAGTTCTCTGTTAGTAAAAATGCACAGAAAAGAAAAGGCAACTCTTTGCCCCAGCGAATCTGGTCATCTCTGTTAGAGAAAGAAAGCAAAGAAAAAGGAGAAAAACGCTGCCTGCCAGCGAAATAGGCTGAAAAATGCGCCCCAGGCACTCCAAACCAGGCCTTTAGCCATCTTTTCAGCCCCTAGGAACAGGGCCTCACGTGGATTTCCATCCAGCCTCCATCTTGGGCTCACTTCGGCCTCTCCTCAATGTCCAATAAGGCCGAATCCCACTGAAGATGGCTGGCAGCCCATCTATGACGATCGAAACCTGGAGCTGAGACACCGAACGGATTTCTGAGCGCTAGCGCTCGCGTGGGAAGCTGGCGATCGAAAAGAGAAGCTGGATTTGAGGATTTATTGGAGTTGGGGAGCTACCGAACAGGCCCTAAGTGTGGAGAGTGTGTTGATCTAGTTTGCTTGGAGTTGTTGTCGTGCTCGAGGTGTTCGGATACGGTTGTGGCGCGGCTTGTGTGCTCTGTGTCTAACTCTTCGCTATTTATGGCTTGAGTTTGAGCATGGCGAGTAGGGTACCATATGGTTTTCACTTTCAGTTAACTTTGAATAAATAAATAAAATCAGAGATTTCCGTTTTTTCGATAGATACTGAAATAGTTGCCTTTTCAGTCAACATTCAGTTCAGTAGTACACACAGCTTCAAAAAATTGCCTAATTATTCCCCAAAAAATCAAAAATATTTGTTTAGGTTGAAATCTATTTCAAGTGAAATTTGACGTCTCTCCGAGGCCTTGTGCCCTTGAAGCAGGGCAAGCGCATGGTTATGTTGTTTTTCCTCACCCTCACCCTCTCCTTCATTGCATCTCGAGGACCTTCTCCACTCACCGGTGCTCCTCGCAGCAGCCAACCTTGAAGCTGCACCTCTCATCTCTACGTACAATCATCGAACCACCTGGGACTGGAGCGTGCCAACATACCTCCTTGTAGTTTGATTTGGACATGCTCATCTTTCATTCAGAAAACAACTGTACACAGTCACATAATTAATCTGACAATCTAGCAGAAGATTATGTACCACCACATCATCCCGAGAAAGTGTCATGCTTTACAAGTGTTAGAGTGTGGCGTTGAATTGTACTACATCATGCTCAACACAAGCAAATAACAAAATCACCAGACGGTATAAATGCAACTCGCAGCAAATATTACAAGTAGAATTCCTTTGGTCAACGAGGATGCAAGAAACTAACTGAGCCATGCACTAACTAACTTCTCACCGAAGTTATCACTCTTTTTGTTCTATAAAATGCTATGGGGTTGCCCACCTTTTGTATCTAAGCAGAGATAAGCAGACACACCGAAGTTACAACAAAACCCTGCACTTGGGCAGCATCCTAGAAGAAAACAATAACATGGTTGCAACTAAGCACAAATAGGAGATGTCGGCGTTGGCAGTACAGAAGATGGGGGCCAAGTTCAACAGGGTGTACTCTGAAAGTCTGGAACCATGTAGTAGTTCTGTAGAACAGTATAGATGTTGCAGCCTCTAGGCTCTCTGGGAAATTTTGAGCACTACTTCCATGCTGCACATAAGAGCAGGTAACTATGAGATAATGTAGACCTGTCGGCGCATCAAACCGGGGGTGCACAATGATGTTTAAGATCGTGGAGCAAACGGTTACCTTGGTAGATTTACGTAGAACGCCCAAACCGAATAATATAGTTGAATCTTGCAAACCAGATACCCATTACCATAGCTCATAATAATCTTTGCTCCTGATGGTCCTCTTTCAACTCCATCAATTTAATGTCAGACCGAACAAAAATCTTTCAGGTTGATTCAAGCCCTTGATTTTGCAAACCTGCGCGTGTGCAGTAGATACACTGCCTACCAGACAAAATACTGCAAACATAATGACAATTCCTTTATTCATTCAGAATAATGATGACAAAACAAAAGCATTATTGAAACATTGTCATTCAGATCAAGCAAATTTGGTTCCTAGTGCTGAGTGTAATGCACTGCTACTCTGCTACTGTGTTTTAATAAAAATGGTTGTGTGCATCACATAATGCAGCAGCCAGGGGTATTCCTCCTTTCGAAAATAAATGTCTAATGCCCTGACCAGTGCTTCAAACGAATCACTATCTCAGTTAATATGTCTTACATTGGTAGTGGCGCACCATTACTAGACGTGCTCTCAGAATCAGAGAATTCATCCTTTTGCTATGGCTATACCATTTGGCACAACTAGGTGTGTTCTAACGAAGTACATGAATATCTATCTAGACATTTATGCATGGAGAAATGTGACATAATATATCCTATTGTAACGTCAAGAAAAAGAAGTGACATTAAGCATTGCAAAAATATGATTAGTATGACAGAAAGCATGGCAGGATAGATATGTACCTTGTTTTGTATGTGAGCAAGCTTCTTGCTCTCCTCTAATTTACACCACTGATAAAGGTAATAGCACTCATCAATCTCTAGGTTTTTGAGGTTGGTGAGTTGATGTATGCCCTCAGGCAATGACTTGATACCATGACATATATGGATAGTAAGTTCCTTGAGAGAGGCGGGCAGGACGCATACCGTTTCTTGGTTGTGAGTGCGCTTCATCATTCCCTTCAATGATTCATTAACCACATGCTCTAATTTAGGGCAGTTGCTAATTTTTATTTTCTGAAGGTCGGTTAGTTGTTGTATGCTTTCGGGTAAAGACCTCAAGACATAATTGGAACACACAACAAGTTCCTTGAGAGAGGTTAGTTCGCCTAACCAATGTGGCAGTGATAAATTGTGGCAATAGGACAAGTTTAGTGACTGCAGCATTGTGAGTTGCCTCATGGTCTCATTCAACTCTGTTACACCATTGCTCCACCTTATTTCCAGACTTTGTAGAGATGCGAGCTCACCCAACCATTTTGGTAGTTCTTCCATGTGTTCGTCTTCTAGGCATAGTGCTTCCAAAGACGATAGATGATGGGTGATCTCTGCTGAGCCGGTTAGATCACCACAATTGTGAATTGACAAAGAAGATAGTCCGGTGAAGTGTTGAAGCAACCTCCACCGATGAGGCCCCTTACAGTATTTAACTGACAAGACAATAGTTATTGGAGAAGTGGAGGAGGAAACACTGGCGTGTGACACAGTGCACTCATCCAGTGATGATAACACATTATCACTGTGTGATATCACCCATGATTTAGCTTTAAGCAGAGACCTTTTCATCCTTAACATGGGGCAACCATGTATTTCCAATATTTGAATCACATGCTCCTCATCACTTGAGTATGATGTGTTCCACTCTTCCACGTTTGCCATATCTCTGAGAACCAACGAGACTAGGTTTGGTAGTTGGCCCACCAGCCACGCAGGAAAGCTGACACCATTGTAACCACATATCTCCAATTTCTTCAATGTGCTTGGTGGCACTAGATTTTTCAGCAACATTTTGTCATAGACAAATCTCTCAACACCTCTAGTCCACTCCAATTTCAAGTCCTTGAGGCTATGCTTTTCCACTAATTTGATAC